AAGAGACAGAGAGGGAGAGAGGGAAGAGGGAAGGAGAGGGAGAGGGAGAGAGGGAGGGAGAGGGCAAAAGAGGAAGGAAAAGGAGGAGGAGGAGAAGGAGGAGGAGGAGGAGGAGGAGAGAGAGAGATCCATTCTCTTTTATCTGGTAACCACCATTGTATTTCCTGTCTCTTTGATTTTGACTACTCTAAGTACCTCACATAGGTGGAATAACAGTATTAGTCTGTTTGTGACTGCCTTATTTCACTTAGAATAATGTCTTCAAGGTTCATACACGTTGTAATGTGTATCAGAATTTTCTTTATGGACTTCATTTTAACCCCGCATTCTTATCTGTAAAATGAAAATGATGTCTTACCTAATAATTTGCTAATATTCTAAAACTAAATTATATATATATAGTTATTGAATTAATTAGCACAAGGTTCTTCATAATATCCTTTTTTAATTCCTTTAATGTCATCTCATTGACCTCTTAAACTGGGCTCTTGCTGTTTGATGGTGTTCTGATCCTATATATTTAAAACTCCAGCCTACTAAGTGCATTAAAATGAATTTTTAAAAGATAATTATAGGTGAAATTTAATGTCACTGAAAACAGAGTGTTCCGTCTGCTGCTAGCATCTGAAGAAATTTCTGCAAGATATAATGTAGTTTAGAATGATATGAGGAAAAACTTGTGTTTTATTGTACAGAAAGTTGGAGGCTCCAAGGTAAATAGAGTAGATTCTGAATGGAACCAGAAAACACCTGCAAGTTCATAGAGGCATGTGTCAGAGAGAACAGTAAAACGTAAGATCAACAGTAGCTTAAATTTCTATACCAATAATTCTAGGGCTAACTCTACACAGATGTGAAACTCCACGTAGGACCTCATAGTCTATAATTTACTGACACAATGCTCTTGGATGTGCATTATGTTCACAAACTTCAATTTAAGATAGACAACACCAAACACAGACCACAAGAAGCACATAAAGCAGAGAATATCAGGATAAAGAAAAGAGCACGCTATTATAGATAACTCTACATAATGTTACACCTCTACATTATGTTACAAATTTTTAAGCATTTAAAAAAATAAAGGTGTTTAAAATTCTGATGCTTTTGAGAACGAGTGAAAAACTTGCTTAATTAGAAGCACAAAAGTAGAAAGAAAAAAAAACAACAAGATGTTAATCCTACTAATGCAGATCTTTTTGAGAAGAGAACTAATACAGAATGTAGAAAGTAAGCTCTCTGAAACCAGAATTTTTGTCTATTGTGGATGCAGATCACCTAAAACCTCATAGATGTGAAGGATGTGGAGTGAGGTGTGGTAGGGCAGGCACAATATATACTTCTCAGAGACAGTAACAATTAACATTAATACAAGGAATGCTGTACCCTGACTGCCCATGAGGTTATCCAGCAACCCCCAAAACTACACCTCTCCTCACACACACGTTCTGTTAGAGTTAGCAGATTTCTGTTTCTCTCCTCTCCCTCTATCTATGGATAAAAGTTTCCTCTGCTCCGTTATGAATCTGAGCCTCCAGATAATTCAAAACAAGGGAATTTTCCAGGCTCCTTCTAGATCTCTTTATAAAAATGCTTCAACTGACAACTGATGTGTCAGCTCAGGGAATTCCTCTGATGGGCTGAGGGTTAGGTTTAGGCCCCTTCTAAATAGTTTCTTGCACTAGTTCTCTTTAGATCATTTCTTTGCACCGTTCTCATCATTGCTCCACTCAGAACAGCCACTTCTGAGGAGACCCTTGGAGGAGGATGACCATAAAGAAAGCTCTGCTTCTACAGGCCCTCACCCTGACCACCATGATGAGCCCCTGTGGAGGTGAAGACATTGTGGGTGAGTGCAGGGTTGAGGGGTGTGGATCTAGAATTGTGAAAAAGAATTGGAAAAACAGTCAATGAGTTTACTGAGACTTGATGATCTATGAAACCCCAGTTCTCCTCAATTTGAATGTTTATGCTTATTTTCCCTCCCAAAAGCCAAAACCCCAGCCCAAAATATGATTAGTTCATAGATTAAACTTAATTTCAGGATCTCCTTGTGTTGTGGCTGTGTTCACAAAGGACCTTATTCTCTTTCTAATACCAAAACCAGCTAATACATTCTGAAGGTTGTTATAACATTAATTTATGATAACTCCTAATATTAGATATATTTCTCCATATATATTGCTTCTTTTTAACAGCAATTTATGAGCCTACTACTCCTAACCTACTCTAAATTATTTTTCAAAGCTACTACTTATTTTATCTATTCGATTTCTCGGAATAATCAATGCCATAAATTTCTGGTGCCACATATAAAGTAGCAAGTCATATTTTTGTTTCCATTGTAATTTATATTTTCCAGGTTTGGGCTTGAGAGGTAAAAAGGAAATTTTTATTGATGATCATTGCTATAAGAAAAATACAATTAATTATTTAAATGACATTGAGCAAGTCAATTCACTACATTGATCTTCAGATTCCTCATATGTAAAAATAATTGATTGATTTGTTCTAAGAAACACATAATCAAATTAAATAAGTATGCAGATGCATATTTTAAAACAACAAAGAACTATATAAGTGTCAAAGTATAGCATGATTATCATAAGTATAATTTCATGTTTGTTTATTTGTTTTATGTTTCAGAAAGTTGGGATCGTGTATGATGAAAAACCTAGGAACTTAAAAATAAGTTAGCCTCAGCTCGTCAACCTAAACTACCAGCCCTACCGTCTCCAGCCCGTAAAGCTCTAAAGAGGATAAAAACATTAATTATGCGGTTCTTTAGCCCTCTGTGTTTTTCATTTCCTTTCCATAACACCTCTTTTTTTTTATTTTAATTAGTTTCAAGTATACAGTACATTGGTTAGACATCTATATAGTCAGTAAAGTGATTCCCCCAATTGCTCCTTCCCTCTCTGACCCTCCACTTAGCCGATGTATTAACGCTAATTGCATTCCTTATGCCATGTTTCCCATCCCTGTGACCATCCATCAGCTACTAATTTGTACTTCTTTAACCCTTCTCCCATTCTCCCAGCACCCCCAAACCCCCGCCTCTCTGTCCATCACCAAATTGTCCACTATGTTTGTGAGTGTTTTTGATTAGTTTGTTCTCTTTATTCCTTAAATTCCACATATAAGTGAAATCATATAGTGTTTATCTTTCTCTGTCTGACTTAAGTACCTTCTAGATTCATCACAGCAATATCTTTTTCCATTTCATTCCTTTTCATATGTAGGAGTCTAGTTTTCTTATCTTTTTTTAATGGCAGTTTATTTCTTATACTATATATACATAATTTTTTTTAACATTTTATGTTTTTATTTTGTCCCTTCCCCTCTCCTTCCTCACCTCTGGTAACCACTAGTCCATTGTCCATATCCATGAGTCTCTGTTTGTCTTGTTCACTTGTTGCTTTTAGGTTTATATCCCACACATGTGATGTCATATGGTTTTCAATCTTTTCTGTCTGGGTTATTTCACTTAATATGATTATTTCAAGGTCCATCCATGTTGTTTCAAATGGCAGTATTTCATCTCTTCTTATGGCTGAGTAATATTCCATTGTATATATGTACCACTGCTTCTTTAGCCAATCATCTATCATAGGACACTTCGGTTGCTTCCATGTCCTGGCCACTGTGAATAGTGCTGCTGTGAACATTGGTGTACAAATATCTTTTCAGATATGAGTTTTCAAGTCTTTGGGGTAAATACCCAGTAGAGGGATTGCTGGATCATATGGTAGATCAATTTATAGTTTTTGGAGGAACCTCCATACTGTTTTCCATAGTGGCTGTAGCAATTCGTAGTCCCATCAGCAGTGTATGAGGGTTCCTATTTCTCTGCATCCTGTCCAACATTTGTTATTACTTGTCCTGTTGATTATAGCTATTCTAACAGGTGTGAGATGGTATCTCATCATGGTTTTAATTTACATTCCCTTAATAGCTAGTGATGTTGAGTATCTTTTCATATATTTGTTGGCCATTTGTATATCCTCTGGGGAGAAGTGTCTTTTCAGGTCCTCTGCCCATTTTTTGATTGGATCATCTGTTTTTTTTCATTGTTATTGAGTCCTATGAGTTTTTTATATATTTTGGATATTAGGCCCTTATTGGAGGTATTGCTTGCAAATATATTTTCCCATTTGGAATTTTCCCATTCTCTTTACCTTGTCGATGTGATTGTCCCCACTTTAGAAACACATCTTCAGTTTTTAATTCTAGTATGGTTTGTATGCAGCAGATTAAAGGACCACTTTCTTCACTTGTTTAGGTGCTGTAGGCCCAGGAAATATGACCAATATTAGCTCTGTAAAACATTTAAGAAGGAAATCTATAGATATTATATTTAGATTTGATACAGGATATGAATGATTCCTGGATTACCTATGCCAGTAATCTCTTTTATTACTATTGCTTTGTAGTATAATTTGAATCGGGCAGAGTGACGCCTCCTGCCTCGTTCTTTTTCCTCGAGATGGCTTTGGCAATTTGGGGTTTTTTGTGCTTCCATACAAATCTGATGAGTTTTTGTTTCATCTTTTTAAAAAATGCCAATGAGATTTTGATGGGGATTGCATTAAATCTATATATACTTTAGGTAATATGGTCATTTTAACTATGTTGATTCTTCCAATCCAATAACACGAAATTTCTTTCCATTTCTTTGTTTCTGCTTTGACTTCTTTTAATAGGGTCTTATAGTTTTCATTATATAGGTCCTTCACATGTTTCATTAGATTTATCCCTAGGTATTTTATCCTTTTTGTTGAAATTGCCAAAGGAATTATTTTTTCTACTTTTTTTGACACTTCATTATTAGAGTACAAGAACGCTGTGGATTTTTGAATGTTGATTTTGTATCCAGAGACTTTACTGTATTTCCTTATTGTTTCTAGTAGTGTTCTTGTGGAGTAAGGTTCTCTATATAGAGAATCATGTCATCAACAAATAGTGACAGTTTGACTTCTTCATTTCCTATTTGGATGCCTTTTATATCTTTCTCTTGCATGACTGCACTCATTAGGCTCTCCAATGTTATACTGAATAATAGTGGCAACAGTGGACAGACTTGCCTTGTTTCTGCTCTTAGAGGGAAGGTTTTTAATTTTTCACCATTAAGTATAATGTTAACTGAGGGTTTGTCATGTGTGGCCTTTATTATATTAAGGTACTTTCCTTCTATACTGATTTTGTGAAGTGTTTTGATCATAAATGGGTGCTGTATCTTGTCAAAGGCTTTTTCTGCATCTATTGATATATCATATGATTCTTATTTTTTAATTTGTTTATGTGGTGTATCACATTAATTGATTTGCATATGTTGAATCATCCCTGTGCCCCTTGGATGAAGGGGTGTGTAATCTTTTTAATATATTACTGTATTCGGTTCGCTAGCATCTCATTTAGGATTTTCACATCTGTGTTCATGAGAGATATTGGTCTGTAGTTTTCTTTTTTTGTGTTATCTTATCGAGTTTTGGTATCAGGGTAATATTGGCCTCATAAAATGAGCTGGGAAATATTGCCTCCTCTTGGATTTTTTGGAAGAGTTTGAGGAGAATAGGTATCAAATCTTCTTTGAATGTTTGGTAGAATTCACTGGTGAAGCTATCTGGTCCTGGACTTTTATTTTTTGGTAAGTTTTAGATGATTGTTTCAATTTCCATACTGCTGATCATTCTATTTAGATTTTCCAGTTCTTGATTGAGTCCAAGAAGGTTGTATTTTTCTAAGTACTGGTCCATTTCTTCTAGGTTATTAAATTTGGTGTTATATAATTTTTCATAGTATTCTTGTATGATCCTTTGTATTTCTGCAGTGTCTGTTGTCATTTCCCCTCTTTCATCCCTGATTTTGTTGATTTGTGTCCTTTCTCTTTTTTCTTTAGTGAGTCTAGCCAGGAGTTTATCAATTTTATTAAACTTCTCCAAGAACCAGCTTTGCTGCATTTATTTTTCTATTGTTTTTTAGTTTGTTTGTTTTTGATTTCATTTATTTCTGCCCTAATATTGATGATTTCTTTCCTTTTACTGACTTTAAGCGAAATTTGTTCTTCCTTTTCTAGTTTTTTAAGATGAAGCATTAGGTTGTTTATTTGGCTCATTCTTGTTTTTGGAGATAGGCCTGTAATGATATGAACTTTCGTCTTTTTGCTGTATT